ACGGCGGCCTGCTGTAACATAAATGCAGAGTCAAAGCGTAACGTAACTGAAGTTGCTCCTGCCGGGTAGTTTTTTGGGTGGAAAACTAGGTTCTTCGGTGTTAGATGCAAAAGTGATGGACGCCGGCAGTACCGCGCCAGAGCGAAGGAGGGCTGCACGCCCGGCGTGGGTCTGGGGCCCATCTGCTTCAGCGTCCCCACTCTGCCAGGAGGCAGCGCCGCGTGCTGCGGGGCAAGGTGGAAGGCGCTCCTGGTAGGCAGATGTGGAAGAGCCTGGCCCTCCTGTCCCTTCTCGCCCGGCTCTCCAGTTACAGCACTGCAAAACTGGCCAGGGTCATCAGCGGGCTGCTGCAAGGCACTGGCTGTAGCCTCACCCAGCTTTGTGTCTCCCCACCGCAGGAGCTGCTCTGCTTCTGTTTGCACACCTGCCTCTGTGCCAAAACGCCCTGGTTCCTTCCCAATTAGCTGTGGAGAACTCGTACATGCCAGCTGTGGCAGAGTCCTGAAGGGCTGTTAGCACTGAAGTCAGTGAGGCCAACCGGTGTGGCTTCTCCAGAAGGTCTAGGCTGGCTGTTGCCCCATCCCTTCCCTTGTAAGCATCACCTAATGCTGTGTGTCTGTTCCTATTCACAGGAGCACGCATCCACGGTACAGCATTCCCGCTGGGACCAGGCTGTGTCCACCTTCTCCTACCTGAATCGCCATGGAAATGTAAGTAGTTTCCAATCTGTGTTAAAGATGAGCTTGTAGTATAAGCCTGTTGTCCCCATCCAACCTGGTCCTTACATCAATAAATTATTGTTGTATGTGGCCAGTAAATGAATTTGAGCTAAAATCAGGATACAAGCCCACGTTAACCCTGCGTGAAGGCATGCCACAGTAGTTAGAAATTGATGTAAGCCCAGGACCATCAAGTATAATATCACTTCCAACACTTCAGTTGCCATGATGAAAATTATCCATGACGGGAGTTATATGGATCCAAACTTATTTCGAATCTTGCTCTACTCTGGCAGGAAGACAAAAGTGGCTGAATATAAACAGCAGCAATTACTGCAGTTTGGATGGAGAAAGGTGTGGTTAAAAGGTAAATAGAAACAGAATGCCCTACAGCAAGACATCATTAAGACACACAGAGAAAGGCGTGGGTTCTTTAGCTTCTTGCAAGTTTGTCAGCCCTTTCCCAGTATTAAAGTAACATAGAGACAAACTTTTGGGTTTGTTCCTGCTAAGGAAAGTAACATTAGAGAGCAGCAGCTTTTTTTGTATGAAGTACATTGCTTAAACTTTGGGGGGGAAAAAACATCATAATCCCTTGGGAAAATGAAACAAGTTAAAGAAGGGGGTGTTTAGCTTTCCTTCTAAATCCAGCGAACCGGGATCTTTGCACAGGCTTATTTTCCCAAGGACGCTCAGCAGCCTAGTGCGCGCGCCCTGGAAGGCGAGGGGTGCCGGGCGAGGGTGCGCCCAGCCTGCGCTGCCTTCCCCGGCCTGCGGTGAGGGGCAGGCGCTGGAGCGGGGCCGCCTCAAGGGGGAGGCCGG